AGAGTCTGATTCTTATAGTAAGAGGGATGTTGAGTCTAGGAATCTAGGGTAACTAAGGTGGAGTAAGACAGGATCCGAGCTAGACAGGATGTTTACCATAGATATCGTGTCTCGCTCATGTCCATTATATGCTTATGCTTGATATATACTTGCAACAAATCCAATCTGAGGATTTATAATATTTAATAATATTCTTTTTCATTAAATAAAAAGCTTGTTCTAATATACTTGAATAGTTGGAGCGATTATAATTCTCTTTCTCTTGCTTCGTCTGCTTATCTTATTAATAAAAGATCAAAATAAAAGATCAAAATCAATATTCTTATATAAGAAAAAAATATATAAATAACGCTTTTAAGGAAAGAAAAGAATTGTGGAGTCCATTGGACGTAACGCTGTAAAAAAGATGCTTATATAGTGTTTCAGATATATAAATAGAATTCTTCTAATTTTTGAGAACGTCTCGGAATTTTTTAGTGATTGCCTTAATAGGTTCTTTGGTAATCACACTATAAGTCTCAATATCTTGTAGTACATCTTCCATTTCAGATAAGTAACAATCTTTATCTTTATGACAGTAACATCTTCTTTATCGGCTCTGATGAAGATGATATTAGGATGCATACGTACAAATTGTTTTGCAGGTTTTAGCAATTAGAATATTTTAATACGATTTTTTTTAAAGGGAAAATATTATTGATAATAAGATAATTAGTCTATTCCTCAAATCTAAATGTGCGTTGATAGAAAATTTCTCAATTATTTTCAATATTTTTTATAATTTCAATAATGATTTTCTCTAATGATTTTCTTTTTTGTTTCATATGAATAATTTGAATGTACCATCTCACATTTGAAATTTACTTAATAATTTTATTTAGTCATTGACGTGACATATTATTATTACTTTTTATGGTTGGAGTTCACCGATTTGACTTAGAGATACATCCTTGCTACTTTTGTATTACTGAAGATGACTCAAACTCGAATTGAAACGTTTGGAACTTTCTATTAATAATTATTACTCTTAACTAATTTTTTATTAATAATTTATAATTTTCACTCGGGCCGATAAAGACAATGTGACCGTTGCACTGGACAGGGATATGTATATTTCCAAAGTCAACGACTTACTAAAGGATACAGATACTTACACCAAAATAAAAAAAGATCCTACTAAAATCATTACTAAAAAATTGCGTGATCTCCTCAAGACGTGGCAAAAATCAAAATTTATATTCGGAGTCTGGGTACTGTAGGATGATGGTTAGCAATGGAACGTTACCTAGGGTTTACGATTTATCGAAGATACATAAACAGGATTTCCCATTCAGATTGATCGTTTCTTGCGTTGATAGTCCGCTATATGCTTTGGCATCTTCTCTTAATAAACTCATTATGAAGAGCATTCCAAAGTCTGATACTGGCATTGATAATAGCTTTCAACTTATCCAAAAATTATCGAATGTACACATTGACGATGACTTCTCATTGATTTCATTGGATGTTAAATCTTTGTTCACTAATGTGCCATTTGATTTGGGGATGGACAGCATTTCCAAACGATGGGATGACATAGCGCCGAATTGCGACATCCCTAAGGAAGAATTCCTGAAAGCTGTTTCTTTCTGCATTCCACATATTTCAAATTTGATAATCAGATTTATAAACAAACTTTTGGCCTACCCATGGGTTCTCCGCTGTCCCCGATTATAGCGGATTTGGTGATGAGGGATCTCGAGGAGAAGGCGGTTGGGAGCATAGATATTGATTTACCTTTTTACTATCGCTATGTTGATGATATAGCTTTGGCCGTCCCTCATGATAAAATCAAAAATATTCTCGGGACATTCAATTCTTTCCATCCGCATCTACAATTTATTTGTGAGATTGGTGGGGGGGAGTTAAGTTTTTTGGAGATTACCATGAAAGTTGTAAATGGAGTTATGCACTTCGATTGGTACCATAAGCCGACCTTTTCTAGAAGATATTTGAGTTATCTATCACAACATCCCTTATCCCAGAAGAGAGGCATAGTTTACGACTTAGTAGGTAGAGCCTTCTCCTTGTCGCACCTTCAATACCAACAAAAAAATTTAGAATCTGCAGTTTCCACATTGCTGAGTAACGATTATCCTCTCAAGTTTATATTCAACTGCATAGCTCGGAAGTTAAAAACTCTATTGCATAAGAAAAATGATATACTAAACATTGACAATGAATCTAAGGACAATAACAAAAAAATTAAATGGTTCACGTTGCCATTCAACTTAGCCATAGTAAGGAAAGTCCAAGCTATTAGTAATAATCACTACTAAATTGTCTTTCTTTAGCCTGAATAGATTGGAGAGGATAATCCGAGCTCAGAAAGACAAGAACTCCTTGGAAACATGTAAAACTGTTGTTTATAAAATCGAATGCGACAATTGCGAAAAATGTTACGTGGAGCAGACCAAGAGACAATTGAAGACTAGATTGAGCGAACATCGTAGTCACATTCGCAGGAATACTAATACTAATCCGTCATTACAGATCATTTTGGACTCCAATCACGATTTTTCTTGGGACAAAGTTAAAATACTTAATACGGAACGTGACTGCGAAAAACGCTTGATTTCGGAAATGCTGTTCATCAAATTACAAAAAGATAACACACTAAACCTACAGATAGATACGGAATGCCTTCATCATTCGTACGTCTCTGTTCTCGACAAATTGTAATTTTTATTGATCTTGTTTATGTTTTTAATTATTGTTCCGATTAAATAACTTGTTTTGTTTACCACTTATACTGTTGGTCGGTCTTTTGACTAGCACACTTGGCGTTTTCGTAATATCTTTTATAAATTTGACTTTATTTTTTGTAATTTCATTTGACGATACGTTTCCTGTTTTATTCACTTTTCAACATTATATATGGCTTAGCTCTTCAGTGGTAAGTGTAACTATTTTAAATTACTTAACTCTATCGGTCGATTTTCAATTATATTGTGTGTGGCTTCATTAGGGATGTATAAGTTTCCCTCACATGACATAGCAACCGGCGTGGGCGACACACCATTTACCTTACCACATTAGAGTGCAGTCTTAACCGTGCTGTTCACTGAAGATGGCTCAAACTTGAGAAACTTGAAACGTTTGAAGATTCATTGAATAAAAATTATACAATTAATTGCGCATTTCTTACCCCCCCCCCGCCTTCTCATTGCTCCTTTGTTTGTATTATTTCTATTAATAAATGTAGTTAAGATTAAACATGGCGGTACGCCTAGCGATACGCCACAAGTGCACACCCAGTATAAGCGCCGTAGTGCGCGGCGCTATGCGGCGCAGAAAGATAAGCACTTTCTCGTGACTAAGATCACGAGCAGTATATAAAGGGCACGGAATCAAGCCTTCAGCACGCTTCTCATTTCTCGGACAGCGCTCCCTGAGCCTCCGAGAAGACAAGGGTGTGCTCCCCGGACCTCTTGGGGAAGACAAACGGCTCTTTTCAGAGCCAACATAACAGTTTTTGTTACGGTAGAGAGAGAGCTCACTGGGCCTCGATACCATATCACAGAGTGTGCTCTCCGGGCCTTTGTACAAATGACTCTTCTCAGAGCCACGCCAAG